TCATGAGCTGTTTCTCAGGCACTGTCTCTTTTTAGGCGCTTGCAGCCAATTCGTTGGGATGTTCTATGTCACTTCAACTCTAAGCGCCCCTACCCTGAGTAGGCCGGCCACAGCTGCTGGCTGCGTGTTTAACAACAACCTTGGGGCATGCAGCATGTGATTCTGAGGTACAGGCCTCGGAAAAATAGCGAACACTCATGCCACATTCATATGTGAACGCGTCCCCCTCCCACCAATGTTCAAAGTTGGCGGTGGGTCTGATGAGTTGCACCTCCGCCGCAGTCTCCCCCGCGCGTGCCAACCTTGAGTTTGGCGGGCAGGGGGGTGTCCACCAATTGTTTCCCTCTACCGTATCATTCCTCTACGTAGAGAGTTCAAGTCATCAGTCAGAATTTGTCTCTCAATATTTCCCAACCATCCTGTGGTGTTGGGTCCTCGTTTTGAAGAGACGATGCCCCGCGTTCCTCCTCCTCCTCTCCTCCTCCTCCTCCTCCCCCTTCACCCCCTCCTTGTCTCTGCCCTCCGCATGTCTCTCTGTCGGCACACCCCTCACACGTTTCGTGGCCCCATGGGGAGTTCCACCAAAGGTCCCAGTGACGGAACTCGCATGGCGGCCTCGAGCCATTTCGGCACACCCTTCACGAGGATCGTGGCCCATGGGGAGCTCCACCGAAGGCCCCAGTGGCAGAACTCGGCAATTTCGGCACACCCCTCACACGTTTCGTGGCCGCATAGGGAGCTCCACTTAAGGTCCCAGTGGCGGAACTCACATGGCGGCCTCGGGCCATTTCGGCACACCCCTCACGAGGATCGTGGCCCCATGGGGAGCTCCACCGAAGGCCCCAGTGGCGAAACTCGCATGGCGGCCTCGGGCCATTTCGGCACACCCCTCACGAGGATCGTGGCCCCATAGGGAGCTCCACCTAAGGTCCCAGTGGCGAAACTCGCATGGCGGCCTCGGGCCATTTCGGCACACCCCTCACACGCTTGGTGGCCCCATAGGGAGCTCCACCTAAGGTCCCAGTGGCGGAACTCGCATGGCGGCTTCGGGCCATTCCATAGGCAGCTCCACCTAAGGTCCCAGTGGCGGAACTCGCATGGCGGCCTCGGGCCATTTCGGCACACCCCTCACACGTTTCGTGGCCCCATAGGGAGCTCCACTTAAGGTCCCAGTGGCGGAACTCGCATGGCGGCCTCGGGCCATTTCGGCGCCCCTCACAGGGATCGTGGTCCCATAGGGAGCTCCACCGAAGGCCCCAGTGGCAGGGTTCGCATGGCGGCCTCGGGCCATTTCGGCACACCCCTCACGAGGATCGTGGCCGAGCTCCACCGAAGGCGCCAGCGGCAGGGTTCGCATGGCGGCCTCGGGCCACCCCGGCACACCCCTCACGAGGATCGTGGCCCCAGGGAGCTCCACCGAAGGCCCCAGTGGCAAGGTTCGCATGGCGGCCTCGGGCCATTTCGGCACACCCCTGACGAAGATCGTGGCCCCATAGGGAGCTCCACCTCAGGTCCCAGTGGCGGAACTCGCTTGGCGGCCTCGGGCCATTTCGGCGCACCCCTAGGAGCTCCACCGAAGGCGCCAGTGGCAGCTTCCCTCATGGCTCTCAGAGCCCTCTCCTGCTTCGGCTCCTTGGTCAGGGGGGCGCCGTCCTCGTCGTTGTCGGCGCCTGCGAAGACGGCCGCGAACGTGTCCCTGAGCATGTCGGGCTCCGGCGGGAAACCGTGGCCACATAGGGAGCGTGGGCGAAGATGGTATTCACAATTGCGGTATTCACAACTGCGTATGGTTGGGTCTTTCGCCAGGCTAATTTATTGCACTGCTCACCCGGCGAAAGCGTGTTGTGTGAAGTAGTCTTTGTTGTCTTGTATGCACATGTCTCTGTTGCTCGGGGTTTTGCTCGTGCAGGACCCCACCCCAGGTTTGGTAGTTTTGCGCGCGCATGTGCACACAAGGTGGGCAACTAGTTTACAACGAGGCCCGCCGGTGCTGTCCAGGAAGCTGCGCTTCACCACCGCGTCAGAGGCAACCGCGTCGGAGGGCCCTTTGCTCACTTGTCGACCAGGTGGTGCTCGGCGAGTCCTCATGCATTTGTACGGCCGATGCTGGTATTTTCCCCTCGCGCGCGTGTTCCTGCGTCGCTTTTGGAGGCGAGTGCCAAAACCCAGTTCGCCCATGTGCTACACCAGGTGGAAATTCGCTTAACTCGGGCCTGTCCCTCCACAGGGGAAATATTCAAAAATAGCCCAAAAAATAGTCGGGGGACTATTTTTCTAATTTTTGTTTGCCATTGGGGGGCATTTTGAGGGTACTATTTTTTGTCGAGAATCCCTTTGTCGGGGGGGACACGCCTGGCTTAAGGCTAAGCGCTTCGCGACGGTGCCGCCGCCTCGCCGCCGGAGGAACAGAAAGTGTGCGCGTGCGCGGGCGCGCACGCGGCACCGTGTGGCTGCCGGTTTTGCTTTCGCGCCCACGCCAAGCAGGCGATCCTGCAGTGGCGAGGCGTCACGGCGTGCCTGTAGCCCTACCAAACAATGTTGTAAGATTTTTTTGGGGTTTCCACGAAATGTTCTTAGAACATGTCTGGCGGAGTCTGTCTTGTCTTGTCACACCGGGTTCATGTTGTAAGACCATTCTCTTTGTTCTTAGAACGTTTTTGGGTTCTAAGAACCTATCGTGGTAGGACTATAGGAATGCTGGGGCGGTCGGCCCCTGCTTAAGGCAATCGACAGTGAATGCGGTTTGCCAGAGCTTATCCGCCGACCGCTTTCCTCGCCGCGTCGGCGAACAAATTTTGTGTGTGCGCGTGTGCGCGTGCCCGCGCGTGCCGTCTGGCTCCGCCTTCTGGCTGGCCTGGTCGGTTTCCCCGCCGCTTGGCGCAGCTCATAGCAGCCAGGTGCTCGATTTCCCATGCCAGGGTTTTGCCCCCCTCCTCCTGCCTGGGCAAGGTCGCCTGCGATCCGAGATATGGTTCGCGAGCTGGGCCCGAAATTCTGGTTCGATTCGAATTAGCTCGATTCACTGGCACCGGCGGGAGCCAGCTGAAACCAAGCGCGGCGATCTTACGTCGGTTCGATTCGAGGCGATTCGTTGGCGATCCGATCTGTGGCCGACCCGGTCCGATTATGCGATTCGACCTCGTTCAGGCCTGCCGGATGCGTTCTGTCTCTCGAGGCCTTTGTGGGCCAATCTTCATGCTTCTGGGCGCGTGAGGGCGTGTAACATGGCATGGATAACGCAGAAACGTGTTCGAGCTTCGATCCCCGAATCCAGATCTTGCTTTCCTCCCCCATTCGGGTACCTCCGCACGCCAGGTCTGGCTTAGAGTTTGTGTTGGTTTCTCCTTCATCCTCTTTCAAGAGTAGATCATTGCACCCCGTGTGTCCTATGCACGTTGCATGCCGCCCCCACAATAACTAACAGATGTCTGTGGCTGCGGCTTGTCTCCAACCTGGTGTGGGGGTGGCGACGATCCGAAGTGGTGATTGATTGTTTCTGCCCCTCCATGAGCTGTAGTTTCGGCTTTCGCTGTGAGGCTGTGTTGTTTGTCTCCCCGAGTTGTAACCCCGGCTAATTACTAATACGACCACCTTTCGGATGAGAAGGAGTTTGGGGGGTGGCGGAAAGATTTAACTGCTGGCAAATGCGATGGGTGTGATGATGGCGATGTTGGTGATGCGCCCTTGAGTTAGAGACGGCGCGTGACGACGACGTTGCGCTGCGATGCAATGTCGCTATCGTCCCCGTTGTCGATCTCATTCGATAGATCCCACTATCGACCTCACGGCCAGTCTTCATACCAATGGATTCAGCGATCGATTCCATTGTGCTCGTCACAGGGGAGATCGCCTGCCCCCGCGAGATCTGCACGACTCAGGGGACGTCGCCTCCCTGCGCACCCGACCGCGCGGGCACAATCAATGTCACAATCAACCTCACTGTCGATCCCACTTTTGATCTCACGATGCATCCCATTCTAACGATCTCATTACCGATCTCACTACCGACTTCACTACCGACACCACGGCGGGACACCCCTGGCTGCCGCGCGACCACCGCCGACGGAACACCGACAAGACACCAACGGGACACCACAGGACAACACAGGCCACCACGGCGGGACACCCCGGGCCACCGCGCGCCCACAGGTGGCGGAGGGGCGGCGGTCCACTGCATCCGAATCGCCTGGCGACGGCGGGATCATCCTTCCCGCGCGCCCACGCAGCTTTGCCTCGCCCGCATGACGCGAAGACGAAACCGAAGCCGATTTCCCAGAGGCGGGCTCTCCGTTGAACTGCGATCTCACCCCCACCCTCCGATCGCTGTAGGGTCTTGTTGTTTGTCCTGCGTCTCTCGTCCCCTGCCCATCCTATGTACGCAGCTCCCTTTTTCTCCACTTCGCACAACACGATGTGGTCTTTTTTGTAAAGTTACTGGGCGGCTGTGACACGCGCCCGCGAATAGAGAGAACATCACCGCCGCAATGGGATGGGGATGGGCGGGAGAGGTGGGATGCCAGAGGTGGCGCGAGCGCACCTGGCTTGCTTCCTACCTTGGGTCGGACCTCAGGGGGCGTGACTTTGCGGGGGGGGTTCAACGCCCCGTCGCGTCCAGCCGGCCGGGGATACCGCCTAGCCTGTTTGGCTATGGCAGAGACGGAGTAAGTACATAATTCGAGTAATCATGCTTCTCCGATGTCTCGATCAAAAAAAAAAAGAACCCTAGGTCGGCACTGCTCTGCTCCACCGGCTGCACGGATCGGGGTCGTGCGCCTCTCTGTGCGCCTCCTCCCTCCTGCTGCGCCCCCTTACATGGCCAGCGCTTTGTTTACGTCTGGCAGGGGCCGGTGTTAAAGCAGTCGGCGCATGGTACGGTCGAAGCGTTGGCGGCGACGCAGCCCTTGCTCTTTCCTCGTCCTCCTCTTCTCGTCCTCCTCCTCCTCCTCCTCCTCCTCCTCCTCCTCCTCCTCCTCCTCTCTCCCTCTTCCCGAGTCATTGACATGATTGACATGTTCATGATATCGGAGGCCTTGTCACGTCGAATTGAGCCTCCTTACGTCTTGGAGGACACCGGCACTTTCCCCCATGTGCCTGTGGTGCTGCCGCTCCGAGGGCAGGAGCGGGACATGTGGGTACGCCAGCTGGCCGCTCCCAGGGCGGTCCCGCGCGGACCCGTCATTGGCTGCTCGCGCTACCCTGGTGAATGGGACGGCGCCCTGCACTCCATCAGGCAGGCGTGTGATGCCCGCACGTTGCAGGTCGCATGGGACGACGTCCTCGCTGCCCTGGAGGAGGAGCTTTCTTGAGCGGCGCGATAAGGTGGGGCCTGCTGATGATGTGTTTCGCGGTTCTGCTGGAGCTGTCCATTGTCGTTGGTCTCATATGGAGGCGACTGCTCCGCACAGGCTCCCCTGCCACTCAGCAGTGGAGCATGGCTGGGCGGTGGCGGCCCGCTGGGCCCGGCATGTGCGCAGCGCGCGCCAGGCCATTCGCCATCAGGCCACGATGCTTGTCGCCGACCTCGGCCTGGTCATGGAGTCTCCTCTGGCGGTCACCAAGCTGGCGCAGCTGGTTCTCGAGTTCGAGCGTTGGCTGCAGCGCATCGACAAGGCGACAGTGCTGCTGGCCATCGATGCCTGGGTGGCCACGTGGTTTCAGTCGGGCTTCAAGCTGCTGACAGACCCACACTTTGATGATGCCGTCGACGCCATCTTGGCTCGGGCCGAGGAGGTCCTTGACGCCTACGGCAAGAAGGAGTTGGAAGGTTGGCGAGCCTGGGCAGCCAGCTCCTTTGACAAGGGGGCTGGCAAGGCTCATCGGTACACCAAGGCGAAGGCAGCCCAGGAGATTTTCGACTGGGGGAACCTGCACAATGATTTAGCCCAGCCCTTCGTCATGGCCGACAAGTCCATGCGCTTCTGGGATCAAATCTGGAGTTTGCATGGCCAAGATGCAGTTCGTCTGCCCCGCCAGGCTGCTATGTGGCCGGAGCTTCCGGAGATCACAGTCGACATGATGCGTGCGGCGACGTTGTCGTTTCTTTGGCACACGGGTGTTGGTCAATTTCAGTTCTCGCCTCGCAGCCTTTGGTATGTGTCTGATATTGGTTTATTTGTCCTCGGCCAGCTGTTCATGACTTGTGAGCGTTTGTGCCAGTGGCCGAGCGAGAGGATCGTCACCCAGATGGTCAGACTGCCCAAGGAGTCGGGGGGCAGTCGGCTTATCGCGCTGCTGCACACGCTCCTGCGCATCTGGGGGCGGGTGCGCAGGCCCTTGGCTGCGGCCTGGCAGTCGGAGCATCAGGCCGACGCCTTCTGGGGCACAGGTGCTGGTCGGTCGTCTTGCGACTGCGCCTTCGATCTCAACATGGAGGCAGAGATCGGGCACGAGCTGAACGAGGACGTGGTCAACGCTTTCTTGGACATGCTGAAATGCTACGAGACGGTGAGGCTGGACGCTCTGATGGATGAAGCCATCCATGTTGGCTTTCCCCCCCGGCTGTGCTGGATGGCGGTGCAGACGTACGTCCAGCCTCGCCTCATCAAGGCCTATGGTGGCTTGTCCTACGCAGTGGTCTCCTTGCAAGGCATCTTGGCAGGGTGTTCATTGGCTACGACACTGCTCATGGTCCTCCTGTTCCGTAGTATGCGCAGCACGGTGCATGTTTTTAAGAATGTCACGCCCAGAGCGCTGATTGATGATATCAGCTTCCAGTGGGTTGGACATCGGGCTCTGGGGCTGCGGCGGGAGGGGAGGGATCCAATCCGCGAGCTGCATGCCGCCATCCGCGCCTTTGTCGCTTCTGTGAAGCCCCTAGGGCTGATGGTACAGTTCCCCAAGTGTGGCTTTGTAGCCAGCACCGCTCGTGCCAGGAAGCGTTTTGCTAGTTTTGCTGTTCTTTTGAAGCTGGCCTCTAAGAAGGCCATGCGCAACCTTGGGCATGAACTCCACGGGCCGCGGGTCCAGAGGATCCAGGAGCACTCCCGGGTTCGCAAAGTCTGTAAGCGCCAGGCCGAGCTGCTCAGTCTCCGCCGCGCGGTCGGAGATCGAGTGGCTGGCCTCTGGCGCACTGGCCTTATGCCATCTGCGGGGCACGGGGCCGGAGTTTCAGGCGTGTCCGACACGGCGCTTCGCACTCTTCGCACCATGGCGGGGGGGCTCGTGGGGGCGAAGTCGATGTGCTGCCTAACTCTTTACTTGGCTACTCAGCCTAGTTTTCGGTACGATCCAATTTTTGATTCGACGACCTTACTGGTATGTCGGTATGCGGCTTGGATTTGGCAGCAGCGCGTCAGCCCCAGTAGGCTTCGGCGAGCTTGGGAATGCATCAAGCAACGATTTTCAAGCCGGGTCTCTTGGGCTGGCGCCCGCGGCCCCAT